TTGGCCCTGGTCTAAAACTCAAACAGAAATTTCTCGGACCTTATAAAGTCACCAGGCTCAAACAAAATGACACATATGATGTGGAAAAGTGTGCATTTTTCGACGGGACCATCCAAAACATCCACTTGTGCTGAATACATGAAGCCCTGGTCCAACAATATTGAACGTATCACTTGATTTTTATACAACTGTCAGCATTATAGGTCCTCCTGAGTTTGGACAGATGACACCTGAGAACTTTCTAATAATTTTTTTCCTCATATCAACTTTTAATTCATTTTCTCATACATAATGTTCTTTTTATTTTAGTTAACTGCTGTGGTGTTTTTAATCTATTTTTTTGCTCCGTTTGTGTAAGTATCCTCAGCTTTGTATCTACAGATTATTTTTTCATACCTATGTTACTATATTATAATAATTTTTTTTTAATTTGATGATATACTATGTTGCTTCAGGCGAGGTCGCCTGTCCGGTCATGATGGCCGAATGTGGGAAACGTTATGTCATGATATTCCCTAATCCCCTACTGTGTGACGTATGCATGGCGTCAGCATGTCTTTCCCGCCTTCGGAAGAAGACGAGGATTAGCTGGCGAGCGGAGCAGACGTCGCTCGATCGCTCGTATATTATTTCATTAATTGAAATCCTAATGTAATCTATGTTTGTAAATAGTAATAAATGTATGTTATCAACTATGTCGTTGCCTTTCCCCACATAAATATGAAAGTAAAAAAAATTAAACTTTTAACAGTTCCTATTAGTCTGAAATATAAATAGCTTTACATACAGTCTTCTTACGTTGTTTTATCGAATCTTGGTCGATGTTTCATTAAATCTGCAATCAGTAGCGTAGCTAGGGTTTTCAGCGCCCGGGGACAACTGAAGATTTTGCGCCCCTTTATCTGTGCCGAGAACGGAAAACATTTCATTCTAAAATTTCCTAACATCAATTTGGCGCCCCCTGAATGCTGCGCCCGGGGACAGATGTCCCTCCTTGCCCCACCCTAGCTACGCCACTGTCTGCAATAATGCACTACCATAAACGTTAAATTGCCTTTAGCAATCTTAAGTTTACTAAAACCTCATATTTGACAAACTTCTGTTCATCAAAATCCAGATTAGTGTTTCAAAATCTGGCATTAATGATTTTTGAGGTAATTACTTTTCTCAAAAGGCAGTTTATATTTCTGATTGCTGTTAGTATGAGTTTGCGGAGCATACTGTCTCTGAACTATATTTTCATTAATGAGCACTTAGTAATTCTTTGCTTATATATTAATAGTTAGTGAACTAAAATAATTTTTATTTTTCTTTGTTTATATAATTAATTTACGTAACAAGTAAAATAATGTGATTTAGTTTAAAATTAAAGCATTTTTACCTTTTTAATAAAGCTATAATTATATATCATTTGATAAACACATTATTTTAGTTAAAAGCAAAATCAGTTAACAATGAAAGTATGCGTATAAGAGTAAAATATAACGTTAAAGCAAAAAGTGAGAAGAATATAGGCATTTTTCATTTTATGTAATGAGTTTGTATGTGTTTAATTCACAACGAAGATTTTTTTTCCTAGTAAATTCTTTTATTCACTAAATACGCAGAAAATATTTGTACTATTTGTGCAAAAGTAATTGTAAGGGATTCTGCATATCCTCGATAATGTTTAAAAAGTGCCATTCGATAAACTATTCGTATCAAATAGTAAGAAAAAATCGAATAAGTGAATGTGCGAAGCTTACTACAGTACGAATTGTATTAGAAAAAGAATGGAAGAATTAAAAAGTAGAGAATAAATCCAGCTTTAAAGTTTATATGCATTTTGACACTGGAGATAAGATTAAACGAAATTTAATGATAAACGAATAACATGTGTATAAAATATAGGTGGATCAATTATTTTATTGTTTTATTTTACAATATAGCTCAGACTTTAAGCGGCATTGAGCATGAAGTTAACAAAATAAATCAACTTATCGAATTAATCAGCAACTTCACTGTACACAGTATTTTAGATAAAAACAAAGCAAATTGCACTGGTTATCATAAATTAAGAAAAAAATCGCAAAAAATGGTTATTTCAAAAGTTACCTGTAGAATTTAATGAAACTGACCCACAGTATACAATACATAGTAAGGTATAAAATAACATGAAGAGAAGTTACCAGACAATTATAGTGTTATAGAAATTAGAATATGTATAAAATGAACAAATCGGATGTGTCAGTTTCGTATAAGAAAATTACTTTCAATGTGCAGTATGATCTTCCCTAGGAGCAATATAACACATGCAGCGATGTGCAATACTGCCAATTATGCAGTCTATCAGTTCCGTAGGAAGTGAGAGCCATTGCTCTTGCAAAGCAATTGCAAGCGTGGAACGGATCTGAAGAGGAGGACTGAGAGCAGCTATATGTCTTTCTGAAGCATCCTAACATGCTCGATAGGATTCAGGTCCGGTGATCGAACTGGCCCCTCCATGTGCTAAATTGTTTGCTTCTGAATAAAATCATCTACGATGTTAGCCCTGTGCGGTCAAGCATTGTCGCCCTGTAGCAGGAAATTATCACCTATTACACCAGCAAAAGGGCGCACATAAACATCAAGAATGTCATCTAGATAGGCCTGAGCATTCATGGTTCCACGTGGAAAGACATGGATATCTATGCGTCCAACCAAAGAGATACCACCCCAAGCACAGACACTACCTCCTCCATATGCATCTCTTTCTCAGTTGTTTAAAGATTATAACGGATTCCAGGTTCTCTCCAAATCGAATAACGCCTACTATCGCTTTGGAGGCAAAACCTAGCCTCATCCCTAAATAGAACAGCTGTCCATTGATCTGCTGTCCATTGGATGTGTTGATGTGCCCACCTCAAAATTCCCTTTTTATGAAGTGGCGTAAGCGGCACGAAAATGGCTGATCGCCACGCGTACAGACCTCCTTCATGAAGCCTTCCATGCACGGTTGACGTTGACACCAGCCTTTCAGTGGTAGAGATAATCAGAGTTCACTGGTAAAACAATGACGGCGTTCAAATTTGGATTCTGTCAGAAATACTTGAGCCTCTGAACATAATTCAAATATATAAACAACTTTATGAGTCAAATTTTTTCATTCGTCCTTTTCTCGACAGATGACATTCTAAGGCACTACTGCTATACAATAGTAACAGCCAGTATCTGCATATACGAGTACCAGTACATGGCGGCTGGACAGCGTAACAGCGTAATATGTTCTGTTTCACTAGTATTATGAAATACATCCTAAAACAACATTTATTGCATGATGTTCATCAATGATAACAGATTTTTAATAAATATTTCCTACTTAAAAAGAGATTTCTTTGCTATTTATAAATATCTTTATTATAGTTATTTTTGAATCCCAAATAGCATTCGCATAATAGGGGAGGAAACCGCCTAGACGGGAAAGTGGATAGTGACCGTACCGAAGGGCTCAAGTTCGAATCTCGGAGAAGGCATGGCTGTAAATTGTCTGTCCTTATTTCGCAAAAGTGAAGTAATCGCAATAATACAAAAAGCTTCTAAAAGAAGAAATTGATTCATTTACTTGAAAAATTATTACTTTTTATACTTCAGTTATTTGTCACACATTACCTAATACAAAAAAGAAGAAGGTTTACATACTAGGTGATGTATACCGATATATCCCATAATTTGAAACATATTAAAGTGATAATCAATTTAGTGCCACTTATTTTAGTATATAAGATTGCTGCAATAATTTCTGCTACCAGCAGAAACAAGGCAGATTTTTGGCAGCCAGCACGCAACAAGGTAGGGGGGGGGAAATTGCAGAAACTGACTTGATTCACTATTCTGCTAAGTTTCAAATGTAAACAAATATGGCTGCTATAGCAAACAAAAATTAGGTTTAGCCGCACTTAAACAACTTTTAAATTGCTGATAATTCTACAGCTATTGCATGCAGATTAACTAAAGTCACACAAACCTTAAACGGAAGATAAAAATAACATAATTCAATCATTTTTAAAGCAAGAAATGCCCGATTTACCAACATATAAGAATAAAAAAAGTAAGCTCACGGAGTCAAGTAACAAAGTGGGTGTACATATCGACGGTGGTCAAATAACGTTGGTCATCCGAGTGTTTCTATCATTAGACATGTTGTTCAGAGTTGTCATAGTGATACCATTTGATTGGATATGTGTATTATAATCAAGACAGGTCTTTTTAATATCAGCACTTTCCTATAATAATTGGAGGAAAAATAACTGTATTTTAAATACATCTTTTAATAATTTAGATGCTTGGAAACATTCGAAGTTTAAAACTGTTGGTAGTATGAGAAAGAATAAAAAATCGAAATAAATAATAAAATAATATTATAGACCGCCAAACACAAATATATTTTGGAAGCATTTATTATTATTTTTTTTTTTTTTTTCAAAATTGCATAGAATTTCTGTTGCATAGAATTTCTGATATAATTTTAAATTTTATTAATATAGTTTGATATATTGTAGTACTTATGTGGTGAAATAATTCTCAGGCAATTTTGAAAAATTCAAGCTTCCAAACTAAATCTTAGATGTGTTTGCGAGTTTTATGGTAAAGATCATACATAATATCCTAAACCTTTCACCAGAATGATATTTGGAAACAAGTTTACTTTGCATTTTGAAATGGTCTAAATGGAATTAATTAACCCTTTAGGGTTAATACAGCACATATGGATTTTTCAACACATGAATTTATTTTATAATGGCTTCCATCTTGTTATAAACAGGAGGCACCTATTTATTCGTTTGAGCACTCAAGAGAGAGAGCACATAGTTAAAAATCCATCTCAAAATTAATTCTGTTTGATGTCAATAATTTTTACAAAAACAATTTCCATAGTTTCTTGATAATTATGTTCTAAGTAAGAAAAATAAGACTCTCATTCCTCTTCGGAGAATCGACATAAAGAAAAACTAATAAATAAGAAACAAAATTATTTGACTTACTTTTCGCTGAGAAAGTTTTCGAGAGAAGGGTGGGTGGGGTATTCCAAGGTAAAACGTGACGTCATTGCCGATAACTGCGTCATATAATTCTATTTTTTGAGGAAATTGAGGTTGCTTCATTCTAGTATTAAGCGAAGAGTGTTTTTGAGTTTTCACGTTTTATTTATAGATTCCGTGGTGCAGTAATCGGTTTGCGAAATTATATAACGCAAAAACAAAAGTAAGAAGTGAGAAACGAGATCTAGTATTTGAAAAAAAATTAGAAATCTTTTCTTTCGAATCACAGTAGTCTTTTGTTCGTACGTTGTTCTCTTTCCTTTTAAAAAGTGCTGCGTCAAATCTAATTCCATATCGTTACAATAATGAACTATTTTCAGATGAAAGAATAAAATTCAATTTTTATATAATTTTCAACAGGTTATTTCAGAAGTTTATAATATTAATTTTGTTCTGATTATTTAATTATTAAAAAACAATAAACTGAATTTATTACTTCTTATATTTATGTATACTTAAAAATTTATTATTTCTTAATATCCGATAAAATTTTAATGCATAAAAGAATAATTAAAATATTGTTCACAAGACTAGCTCCACTTTATTTATACAGATTTTAGACGAAGAAAATACCATTATAAACTATTCATTCTGAATTTCATTAAACTTTCACGCCCTACGTTTTCAGAAATATTAGATAATAATTATATAAATACAACTGATAAGCTTAACTCCAGCACAGTTTTTAATTACGAGGCTTACTATAATTATTACTTTCATTTTCATTTTAAGTGAATTTGTACATTGCTTAACACGATTTTTTTACCCGATTACAACCACCTTTTACAGAATTTTGAATTAAATAATTATTAAGAATTAGCGGCCTTATTTTTATGCAGTTAAGTGGAAAACAAATTTCATTTATATAATATACAGCCATAATTTTTGTATTTATTGCGTAGTAATTTTTTGTATCTTATTTTCATACAGAATTTTTTATATACTACGAGGCGTATTCGGAACGGAAACTAAGTACCGTTTTGGAAAAAAAAAAAAAAAAAGTAAAACAATTTTTTTCGAATCCAATTTTATTTTTGCATGAAAATACATGTCTTAAACTATTTTTCAACATAGTTTCCGCCAATGATCAGACACTTGTCATAGCGGGTGACCAGTTTTTGTATACCATCGTCAAAGAAACTTCCCGCCAGTTTCGATAACCACGACTCCACAGCATTTTTCGTGTCATCGTCAAATCCAAAGCTCTTGCCATCAAGCTCGCGCTTCATGTGCTTTGTGGAAATGCTTCTGAAAGAGTTGTCATTGTGAAGCGTCTGTTCTCATGAATTGCTTCATCAACTTTCCTTACCGAATCATCGGTGACAACAGAAGGCCGACCACTCCGAGCCTCGGCGTGGACATTTGTTCGACCTTGCATTAAACATTCTACCCACTTTCTCACCATTCCATCACTTATCGCGTATTCAATGTAAACTTCTGTCACTTGACGATAAATTTCGGCCGGTTTAACATTCCTCGCGTTCAAAAATTTAATCACGGCGCGAATCTCACAGTCAGCGGGAGAACTAATTGTCTTAAACATTTTGAATGTGCACAGCAAACTGAAAACACAACATAGAGCAAACAAAATGGCGACAATTGAAAGTCAGTGAACAAGAAAGACTAGTGCGCATGCGCGGGACGCCTACCACAGCGCCGCGACGGCGCTAGAATGAAACGGTACTTAGTTTCCGAATACGCTACGTATCGCTGTGGTAATATTTTTTTCATTTTTTCATTTTATAGTTTTATTTTATTTTTTAACTATATATTAAAAAATATTAATAATTTTCGGAGAAGAGATCGACAGACTAAAGTAATGAATAACCAGCTGAAAAAAAATTAAAACGTAAATATTCAAAGAATTTTACAGATCTTACAGATTTCCGATGTGGCACTTCTTCATATAGTCAATATCTGTCATCTAATGTAGAGAGGCTCAACATTTGTTCCAACGTCTGATCTACTTCATTCACAATTTACACATGAAATAACGCTTTAATTGTAATTGAATCATACAATTATATCGCAGTTATAAATACAATTATAGTGTCTTATAATTAATAGTTAGAATATATAAATTTTTTGTAATTATGATTGCAGTTAAAAAAGCCCAAGAGCATAAATAATTATGATTGCAGTTAAAAAAGCCAAGTTATCTGCCCAAATGGTACCGTGGAATTACCGTGTTTCGTAGTTTTAGACTAGCTCACCGGATGCTGAACGACAAGATAGTTAAACACTGGTCATTCGATCGTGCTACATTTCTCGCAAACAATCAAGTTGCATGACAGTTGTCGTAGCTTTTTCTCGTGTGCAATATGAATACGAGCTGGTTTCGCTTATTTCAGCTTTATTAAACTGCTTTTGGCTTTGTTTACTTGTTAGGCATCCTGCCACCTCGTAGTAAGGATGGTATCTGCTACTCTGCTGTCTCCATGACCTTCCTCAGTGCAAAAGCTTGCTGGCAGTACAAACAGTTTTCGCAGTTTTAGGTAAAAAATAAGTACGTTAACATCATTAAGCAAAAGTATGCACGAACAATGTTCGCCAAGAGATATATAGATCTGAATTATTTACTAATGGCCGGTTACACGAGGGTTGCATAGGAAAAATGCTTTCAAGCAGGGCTTTTGACAGAAATTGTCCAGCATTTACGTTACGCCTATGCAGTCAGCCCATCCAGCAATCGGGAATGGAATAGTCAGCGAATTATTTAGTCGGACTCCCTATATGCTTAACAGTAAAACCGTTGAACACTGGTATTTTGACGGTGTTCAAATCCTAACGAGGGGAGTCGCTGCATAGAAATTTTCATGGTTGTCTCATGAGTAATGTGAATACAAATTAGTTTCCCTTGAAGTGGCTCCATTAACGCATTCTTCCCTTTAGCAGATAACCTTCCAATGATTTGCCGTAATCTGAATAATCATTATCATCCGGTGTTTAGTCCGTGTGACACTAATAAGCTGTCTTCTCTGGAACCGAAATGGATCTATATGATATCCAGAACCACTTTGCTTAATTACTATGCTTACTCCAACTGCAATAAGGCATAAATTATAAGCCTTCTAATACCTACTATGCACCATGATCCGATTGAGCTTAGAAATATTTGTCAAATTAATTTTTTTTCGTATGATGCAGAAACATTAAACACTATTCTGAAAGTTACCACCCTAAAACTCTAGCTTTCTGTGCGCGAAAAAAACATGTAACAGCGGCTGTAAGAAGCCGCAATACAGTTTAATTTTATAAGTTTGCTAAAGACAAACAGCGAAGTATTTGTGGAATCCGCTTTAGGCTACGATAAAAAACTGCAAACATACTAAATACATAGTTACACTTCTAAATTTAGAAATTACTGTTTTTAGCGAGAGGCAGGATTATACGATTAAGTGTAGTCAAATCGCAAAGAAATAATAGACTTACTTCATTTGTAATTATGATAACTGTCAGCATACACGTTTACAATTAACGACCATATTTCTATTTGACAATGACAATAATAAACGGTAAATGTCAATATATGTATTTAATACAACTGGAACTATTTTAATATGTAATTATAATACCGCAATTTCAGTACTTTTAATTGCATTTACATTGTAGTTTCTTTGTCCTTAATTGCCTAATAATTACAGTATAATTGTATTATTCATACCCAAGTTTAATGTAATTGTATTAAATTTTAACTTTTAATTAATAATTTAATTCATTATAACTGTAATTACAGTTGCATAATAATTTAATTAAATCTGATTTCAAATTCATCTCATTAACTGTAATTACTAGTTATACTGTAATTTGTTTAACTAAAATTATATTGTCATTTTATTATAAATTATTTATACTGTGTAAATTATTAATCAGCCACAATGAAACTAACAGTTGTTCGGTTGCGCCTGCTAATGGTTTAACACCATCTGATTTTTTCCTGTAGAACCAGATCGAAGCGTGGTGTTTGTGCTCTGAAGACATGTCCCAAGATTTAATGAAATTGAAATAACGCACTACTCTGAATATCACTCAGGTGTACCATGTAAAGATGAACAGAGTGTAAATTTACCTGAATTATAGGAGAGAGATTTACTACAGCAAACCATCAAAAACATTGCAAAAAGGCAAAAACCCATAACCACATCTAGAAATTTGCTTTACATGAAGCCCAGATCTGGGACAGAAAAAGTATTAATTGTAATTGCAAATTTATGCATGATAATATCAAAACAGTCATAACAGAGTTATAGCAACTAGTGGCAACAAGCGGACACTTTTCCTGAAAATTTAATTGCTATCCAGTAAATTTCAGTTAGAGCTTTCGGATAATGAGTAATAAATAGTTGAGTTTTTTTTATTATTACTATTGTTATTTTATCACTATTATTGCTATTATAACTATTTTAACACTATTTTTTATTATTACACTTACTATCACTATTTTACTACTGCTATTGCTACTATTGTTACTATTACTACTATTATTAGTAGTAGTATTCTTATTGCTACTATTATTATAGCAATTATTATTATTACTACTATTATGCTGTTGTTGTTATTTTGTACTTGCCACTTAGAATTTAACTAAACTTTTGACTGGACATGATTGTTTGCATTCTCATATTTTCGACTAGAAATCTTTAACTATCTTTTTTGCTATTCTTCCTAATTTATGACGAGTAAGCACTCGGGAGTGTTCTTCACTTAGAGATTTTAATACAACTGCGGAAAAAAGAATCGAGAGCCTGCCGAACCGATCACTTGAGCGCCGAGATTAAGTTGGGTTAGGTTAGAGTATAGAAAGTACACGAGGGCTCACGTTACAAATAGGTAAAAGTTATGCAGCCAACATATTTCGGCTGGCATTTGGGTAACAGAGTTAATATTTAACCGATTTCTAATATACTAATTTTACTATATATTAAGAAAAATGTTACATAATTAAAGAAACAGGTAATTATTCATAGTGCAAATAAAAAGAAAAGAGTTCATCCTCTCACTTTCTTGGCATGCGTTCTGTTCAGTCGTACATGCAGATTACGAAAGAAG